GGCAATTAACCGATGAAAAACTGTTCCGGTTATTAACAGCTTTATTGAGTCTGGGGTTGAAATGAAAAAATGCAGTAGCTTTTTCTGAATGTGGATGTTCTCAATTTTGGTTCGAGGTGCATCGTACCAAGGGAAACCGATCTTCAATCTACGATACAAAAGCCATGACTACTGTAGTAGCAGCCACATAAAGCCCCTAGGAAATTCCCAGGAATGCACTTCTGAAAAAACAAACAATGCATCTAAACATATTTATTCGGTCGAAATGCTTCGAAAAAGCACACCAAAGAACTATAAAATGTTCTAGCAAATCGACACGACACAAAACTGAAAATTGTCTGTTGACTGCTGCCTGTCGGCAAGTTGAAAATTGGCACAGTCAGTTTGAATTAGCAACCGTTGACCTAATGGTTTTCTTCCAACCACTCCTCCAACTTTGGGCACTCCATGACAGTCTCGTTCCGATCTAACTGATACACGTCTCCTCCCACGACGTTATCGTAATGCACTTCGTCGACACGTACGCTTATGCCCGTGGAAGGATTAATCGAACAAGGTCCAGCCTAAAAAAGCGTATTAAAGGGTGGTTTAATGCCTTCCAAAGATGGAATGAGATAAAGCACACAGATGTTGACAAAATTATCGAGTTGATTTGTTCAGTTGAGATCAGAAGAAAGGAGGCATTATTCTACCCAGAGCGATTCTTGGCTGGTGGGACCTCTCAGTGCCACTATGAAGAATTTATAGCATCTTCAATTCAAGCACGATCACTCGTAAGGTTTCTAAAAGAGAACATCGAGTTTGATGTTAGAGAAACAAAGCAGAATCCTGACGGTTCTTCCATGACGCGTTCACCCATGCTGCGAGAGCATTCTATGACTCCGCGTGACGACGCTCGGCGTATAAAATAGCCCTTATATTAGCCAATAGTTCCACGTCAGTATTCAGGGGATCTGATTCGGTCACACCAGGAGGGACACAGTCACAGGAGTTGAGTAAAAAAGTGGCAGCAACTGCAAAGCCCTGCGCGTGAATCTTCTGAAGAGAAGTGATCTTTCAATTGCTCGCACAAAAATATTAATTAACCTTAAAGGAGATGACGTAAACACAGGACGGATCCTCGTAGCACATCTTCATGCAATCTCCTATGTCATGCTTGAAATTCGGCGCAGTACTGAGGTATGTTGGAACAGTTATCACTGCGGAAGGTGGAAGTTGTCTGAACGTGCAAAGCAGAGCCGGAGTCACCTGAAACAGAAGCCGTGAAAAAACGACTGCAATTGACTGTGCTAAGGAATGGTGGTTGTTTTTTGATTCACTGCTGCGGGCCTAATGACAGTTGCTGTGCCATTATGTGTGGGCAGCACGGTGCTATACGTATCACAAGCGCTTCTTTCCCACAGAAGATGCAAGAGCACGGAAGTGCAGCGATGACAAAGTTGATCCTTTCTATGGATCCGCTCTGGCGATGGACTTTAGCACATCTACAACTAACGTGGGCGGAAACGACCTATCTAAGAGACGATGGAAACATAAACCATGACCATGCCTCCAGCTCATAAAGCGGAGAGCTGGCGTCACGTTGGTAGGTATTCCCCTTAATGGACCACAACCATCCAGAACATAATTTTAACACCTATGATTCGCTCCTGTCCAATTTGATTCTAGTATAGGAATAGTTTCGTTGAGAGTCGGAGATGGTCGTCAAATACTATTACTAAGGACACTGACCACGGTGAAAGGCTTTCTTCTGCTGAAATTATTCACTGTAGAATAAATGGAGTGCTTATCAGGTTATATAGGGAAAGTCGCTGTTTCTTTGTCTTTATAATCGCTTAGAATTGTTACCCGTGTACAAAATCAAATAAAAACATCGAAATCGCCAATAGAGTGAAGGAGGGAACTTCTGATTGAATTGAGTGTTTTCTTTTTGCTATCACTTCATAAACAGATCTAGTTCGTTTTATCGTCTCCTAGAAAGAGATTAGTGCTCTTTCTAGGAGACGATAAAACGAACTAGATCTAGTTTACTTTTCACAACCTGCCAGCAGTGTTATCTGAGCATTGCAATTTCAAGTAAATTTCGGCCACGCTTCTCTCAAATGACATAATTCGAGGAGATATTAAGTTGTCCCACAAGTTCGTGCCACTTTTTTGCACCTCATGCCAGAACTTCATTTTGCGATTTCTGAATATGACCAAGTGGGCTACGAAGAGCTCACTTCGTTGAGTAAACCATACATGACTCATGCCCGCCCCAGCTGCTTTTTTCGGTTTTAAAATCTCAAAAGAAGGAGCCATGTTTTTCACACTTGATTTATGAACTTCTGCTGAGCCACAAACCGGTCGAAGCCAGGAGCCATTTGCTCTGCGATACATCTCCTTGTCGTCGTCCACTATGCGATATCAAAATAGTCAAACCTGCTTCGCTCTGAAGACTGAAGCCTCGAGAAAATCCTGATTCGTGAAGGCAATTGGTGTTCGATTTGGACCTGCTGTGCTCTTCTATTGGAGGCAACCCATCCGGTTATTTTGCTATGTGACCGCCACACTCAGACCTTTCAGGTACAGGATTGAAAGAGATGCTCCTCCTTTGGAAAATTGCAGAGGCTTGGACAAAGAAATCCTCATGAAATGACCAGTAAGCACATGAGTGTGGCAGAGTTTAGTAAACATCTTTTATGCTGCCTTCCAGACGCTGGCTGGGCAACGGCGCTAGTGCTCATGAGAGGCGATTGTTATATGCTAACCACCTGCAGAAGCACCAATAGCTGTATCAAACAGAATTTGGCTGAAAACTGTCAAATCTAGAAAAACGCTATGGCATACTTATGAAAAGCAAGTCGCGAACCAGCCGCTGAGAGCTTCTCTCCGGCTTCGGCTTTGTAACAGGACAGGTCTCCTGTAATCAACGTTTGAAGCTGTTAAGAAAACTCCAACTAGTACGCTCACAATTCAATAAAGTATGTCCGCGCTACGACAAGCGAGACCACGTGTTTCGAAACGACACCGCTCTAGATTTGAGAGGTCACTCGAGAAGTCCCGTCAGATCCACCGCACAGCAGGGAATAAGCCTCCACTTGAAGGCCAACTACTCTTTTGCTGAACAGCCATCTTGCCAGCAAAATATACGATTCAAAGAAAGACCTCGAAATCGACATCACTGCCTTTACCACCTCGAAACTGCGGACCTTCCAGAACACGACATCGACTCCTTGTGTTATGGTGATATGTTGGCAACAAATCACTGATAGTGATGGTCCGTATATTGATGGTGGATATTGCTTTTTGTTGAGATTATGTTAACATTAAAAAATGTAGAAAGTGGCACAAACTTTTGGGACAACCTAATACTTTTGATGCTTCCAGGATTCGATGAAGCGCGCATCTTACAACTTTCGTGACAGATGTCCTAGATTGATTAGGGCTACGGTCATCAGTCGAATGCACTAGCTTTAGGAGCTTTAGGATGATGGGAAACATGACAAGATAAAAACAGCACCACAACAATCCAATGGTGCTGTGGTGCTGGTTTTCATGTCCAATTGAAATGGAAAATTACCTGTACTCGGACTGAGGAGTATGAAAGCATACTATGGGTTGAGGGCAAACTGCTCACCTCTGCGTGAGCTTCTGAAAACCTTTCCTACATTGTGCTTATTGGCACTGGTTACTGAAGAGACTCTCCGAACGAATGTTTTGCTTCCATCCAGATGAAATTCTCCAACTATGCTGCTGTAAGAAGATATCGGCTGATTCCCGTCTCGTGAAGCAGTTTTAAGTGCAAAGTGGTCATCTCCTTCAAGGGGTTTAGATAGACATTTAGACGCTAAGTCGTCAAAATTGTAGTCTCCTGCCCTGAGCATTAACGCCAGAAAAAGACTGTACATTGATGATCACTATTCATTTCCTGTACTTCGGATTCGGCAGCTTTCACGCTCGAGACAGAACGGCACAAAAGAGGCTCGGAATGGCGCAGGTACTGAAGCCCCTTGACGAATCTGAAAAACTTCTCGATGCAATGCAGAAATAGAGGTAGAAAGCAAATGAGTCTCACCGACAGAAGCGGTATCACCCTGGGTATTACTGCTAAAACGTCGGTGTGATGCTACCAATGAAAAGGCAGAGGTTACAGGATATCCCTGCTAACCTAATACGTTACAATCCTTTTAGGTATGGTCATTCCTTCGCAAAGTCAACGCCCTGCACATTAGAACGATGTCTCAACAATGATTTGGTTAGCAATTTCGTTGACGGTTGTTTTGTTCTCTCAGATCAGCAGTGAGAGCACGCCACAAAATCAACCTGATTTCAAAGTACTCTTACCATTAGCGGTAAATTTTGCTTATTTCAGGCCTTATTACACCTATTGGTATTTTGCAGACCGTCAAATAGACAACCTTGCAGACTTACAGTCCTACAGAAAAAGCTACTGATTTAAATGATAGAATGGCAGGTAGCTCATCAGCAGTCAGTCAGACGGTTTGACAAATTACACCTATTAGGAAAGTTACATCTGCAGTGGTATTTGACAGCTTAGCTGCCCAAAAAGCATGGGACCCGAGTTTGAGTCCTGGCTTAGAAACGCGCTCTGCAATAGTTCGGAAGTATTCTTACGATAGCGTTTGTATCGCGAACTGAGGCGAAAAAGCGAAAAAAAAACTATCCGAACTCTTCGCATCTTATAAAGTGCCGATAAAATCAGTTGAGGAGAAGGTCAGGAAATTCGCACTTTTTCTTCTGAACACTGTCTGTCTGTGCATTGCAGCCGTGTTAGCCTTGTATAAATCCAGACTACTTGAGCGCGATTCGGGAGGCAGCACTACTGTACTAATCGCTTAGACGTCATACCTGGGCAAGAAACAGTAGGGTGGCAGAGGCAGTGAGGCGAAACACGACGAAGCACATTGTTCCTGAACTTTCACGTAAAAATTCATTCTGTGCTAGAGGTTGGTTGGTAGTGTCACAACACTTGAAGGAGGAATTCATGACAAAAACGAAGGTCAAGAAAGGGAAAAATTGCATAGTTGTGTCGGCAGACCCCCAATTAACAGCGGAAGATTTGACCTCGGCGATCTAGCATGGCTCACTCTTGGCGCGGTTGGCGGGGTACGCCCACCGACTATCTAATCACTCGCCGCAGGTCTATACGTGGCGAGTGATTAGATAGCAGAGAGAGCGTAGTGTTGAAGAGGGCACAGCGATGAGAGTCGCATCAATGCGCAAATCAACGGGCAAGGAAGGGGTCCCATTTCGGGTTTCGGGCCGTTTCAAATGGTTTCTTCTTCATCTTTCATCTCTTATCCGATACGACAGCGTAACAGTGGCTTTTCAGATCACAGGATATTATCCTGAAAACAAGTTCGAAAAAGGCAAGTTAATCCTAAGGGAAACCTGGACCCAAAATGTCACGGATTCCTCCAAGGTTCCCTAGAACTGAACTTATTCACTTAATAATTGGTAACCTCTACAATTTACTGGCTGTGGTTCATTCAGCGGTCAGAAAGATTTGAACGATGAAAGTATCTCAAACTGCGTCGGGATCTGAGGTGAAGGTGGTGTAGACTGGGGATGCCATGCATGATGGGATCTGCGCTACATATCTCCAGCGGAAAAGTCGACCACTCAGGGCCAACGAAAGGTACCGAATGCTGGGAGCAACGACTCAAACCTACGTCAAAAAGCATTTCACAATGCCGTAGATGATATTCTTTATTACCCTCCAATCCAGATTTTTATTTCCATGGTGACTTAAAGGCTTGACTGTTGACTCCGATTAGAAAACATTTTCATCACTAAATACGTTGACGACAGCGTGGTGCGGTAACGCGTCCCACTTTGCACACCTGTCGGATTGTGACGCGGCAACGCGTCCCACCCAATAATAAGAATTTAGAATGGAAAAAATTCGAGAATAAGAGGTGGTTCGTTTCGCCTCTTACTCAGACGAACCACTATTTATGTTTTTGTCAACCCATATAAAGTTATGGGTAGTCAAAAACAATATATTAAACAATGAGGTTACAAGTATGTGAGATGATGAGTTAGGATAATGAAATCAAAAGAGTCATCAAGAAGTCATCCTTTTTTCTAGCGCTTGCGCAACTTCCTCCTAACCAGGAAGGTCTTCCAGGAAATGCCCAGCTTTCTCGAAACGGTTTTTTGCATGATATAGAGGTACATGCATGGAACACAGAACTGTAGTTCATTTTTCCTGAGCCGCCTCTGAATACCAAAGAAGGAGCAAAGGAAACTGCTTAAAGGCAAGATTCGGGATAAAATAGGTGGAAAAGCGTTCAGTTATGAAGCTATAGGTGGGAGGTGGTCTGTAAAAGAGAAGGAAAGCAAACGAAACCACCACCCCGTACAGAGACCTCCCCTATTTCAGCCACATTCCACCTTGGGATAGAGAAGAGGCGCGTTGGACGAGTTTCACGAACCTAACTCTAGTTGCTCCAGTGCCAATGACATTGGATCGCGTGGGACCGCTGCCTCAAATGCGCCCGCGCTTTTCAAGCAGCGCCACGTGGCAACCGACAGCGGAGGGTGGGGCTTGCGGACGAAGGTGTGAGTTGCGGGTTGGACGAGCTCCTTGCCTTTGTCGCGCACTTTCAAGCCGCAAAAGGGGCCCGACATCAACACTTGTCCACCTGCCTACTACCCCTGGATGGAACAGGCGAGCCCGCCTGATCGCGGAGCGTGCCTTTAAGGACTGCCGTTCTTGTTTTTCTTCAAAATTTTTTCAGCCAAAGTCACGTATAAAGGTTGCTGATAGTCCTAATTATAGATATGAGTTGTTTCCGCTGACGCTATTTTTCGCGAATTTTGAAACGCCAACACAAAATGCAAAAAATTGTCACTGCGAGGATTCGAACCACGGACCACTTCATCACCCCTTTTTTGGTATTCAGAGGGCCGATCAGGAAAAATGAATTACTGTGTTACAAGCACGTAACCCTCACCCTCAAAGGTTTAACATTAAAGTAAATTGAACACTGTGGTCTACGAAATATTAGATATTCTATAGTTCAGCATCGATCTTCTGAAACCTACGTACTTCTCACTTGTCTTCCAACTTCGACTTCTATTCTTGAATAAGCAAGCAAATATGGGAGATGGGGAGTATAAAAACAAGTGTTAACATAATACAAATAATAGTACTATGGATGAGAAGATTTGTGTTTCTCATTGTAACATTCAATACAAAGGATTTTTCTACAATCTCTGCAACTCGTGTTGACTCTTCTTGTTTATTTGCGGTCGCAACAAGTTTCCTCTAAGAAATGTTGCGTAACATATGAAACACCTTCTTCTGTTAACCGCTCTCGAATCTTCAGGTACGTCCTCCAGTTCACGTCGCGTATAGTTGGGCTGACGAGTTGAAATGCAGCCACGCTCAACCTTCTGCAATGATTCGACCACCTCTAATTTGAATCGTTCAGTCGAATATTCTTGATCGGAATCTTTGCACAACATCGTATTTTGTATTCGTATTTACTTTGTATTTGTATAATGTCATCTGATCCCCCTCTGAGCTCCCATTGTGCTCTTGTTTTATGGCATTCGGAATTGAGTTCCGAAAAACGCACCTTGTGAGCCAGCGAGATGCGGTTACGCGTCACACAAATCGGGGGGAAAACACCAGCCATGCGGATAATGTCGCCACGAGTGAAAAAGCCTAGCGTGCGGTGTGTCGAGTGGTAAGCAATGACCTACATACAATACAGCAAAGACAAACTAGTCACACGTTGACGACAATGTGCTTTTGGGTTTGCGCAGCGTCGGACCAGGGCGATTTTGCTGGCACTGCCGCCTCACATATCCGTGGATTTTGAGCTATATATATCTACATACAGGGGTGGCCAAAAAAAATAGACACTTAACTACACATTTTCAGACAGCATCGATCACACTTTTGCTAAAATCAAATCAACTGCCGCCAACTGAGTATTGGAGAGCAACTTCTACTCTATCTAAACCTTACATGATAGCCTCCTACAGACCGGACGACTATCGAAGATTTTCCCCACGAAACATGGTTTGGCGATAGCCGCGAGCTCCACACGGCGGTTGGACGGTACCCATAGCATATACGACGTCCCGAGACAATGCTGGGTCACACCAGCTGGTTTTTGCATGTAGCCACCAGCTCCATATCTCTATACGAAGTTATTACGGCACGTTTCTATTAACACATTGACGACAACGCGAGTTTTGGCTTTTTTGGCCACGTGGGACCGCGGCGATTTTGCGGGCGCGCTCGCCTCAGGTCGTTCAAGCAGATTTTGAGTGATAAATACACAACTAATGATCAATTTGAAACCAAATCAGTAAATTGTAATGAGCGCAACCTAACCAGGGGTAGCAGTAGTGGAATTTCGATCGAAAGACATGGAGTAACAATGAAAAAGCGAAATTTGGTCAGAACTAGCTGCAATGGACCTCAAAAGCAATTTTACGTTGATTATTCCAATCAAAACACACATATTGTCATCCCTAAGGTTCCTTATCTACTTCTACTACTATTTAAATCTTCACATTAATAAAAAGAAAAAGTAAACGAAAAATTTATTGAAATGAAGATTTCGTATGGTTCAGAAATCCTCCTCTAAATTAAAGTATACGTGACCATTCTAAGGGCCACTATGTTTGTAGCTACGTCAAGGTCTCTTCCATGGAATGAATACAAGAAACTTCTAAAAGAATCAGGCGTGCGCGAAAAAAATGAGTGTAATGGGTGCGGGGGATATATATCCCGCACGGTCCGACATGGCCTGCAATGCGCGGGATATATATCCCCCGCGTTGTCGTCAATGTGTTAAAGAAATTATGAAGCAGCTTCAGGCCGGAGCGATTACGGTAAGCCTCGTTGAGCTCGACGGTGGCGGCAGATGACGTCATATTCTGAAGACGGCGGGGACAGTGAAGGAGGGCCTGCTTCTGTTTACGGGGGAACACCTTAGGAATATTTCGCCGTAAAACTTTCATTAACATCGGCACCCTGTGCGACGAAAAGTTCGATGATGTGCGCCATGGGCAAAGTGTCTCTTTTTTTTGGCCACCCCTGTATAGTATGTATAGAGCAATACTGGAACTTCGCTCCATAACTTCAAGAGGAAAAAGGTTCTTGACTTCGTGTTGACCGCATTTTACAAAGAGATGTTTCCCAATAACAATGCGAGAAGATGACCGTGGTTGGCAGCTGGGGCCTCTCTGAAACCGGACATCCACTGAGAAAAAGTCGTGCTACGGTGTGGTGGAACTGGCCTACTATGGAGAGCTGATTGTGGGTCAGACAGTTACAGCTGAAGCCTGCGCACAACAGCCCGCCCGCGTGGACCGAGCTCTGCGTCGTCAAGGGTGAATTCGGCCAATGTAAAACTATTGCACATAACGGAAGACCACATGTCGTGAAAATCACGCAACAAGAAATCGAGGAGTTGGGCTGGGACGTTCTACCTCCAGCGCCATATAGCCCAGGTCTCTGGCGCCGTCCGACTATCACTGACCCAGGTCAGCGCAACACTCCTTAGCAGCAAACCAATTCGATAACCGCGACGTCAAAATTTGAGTGCCCAACTTCTTCGAGTCGAACCAGAAAGAGTTCTACGCGGTAGGCATCCATGCTTTGCGTAACGAAAGGTGATGACACAGGTGAAGGAGATGGTTCAGGTTGATGTGCTTCATTATTGTTTTTATAATGAAAATAATTGATGATCGAAAACGACATTTCAATCTGGTCTACCTAATAGAAGATTTCCTCCACCTCACAATCGTTGAAAAGCTTGATTTGTTCAGTATTCCTGCAGCAGACTCTTCTGCTTTGAGGTGCGCCATGCACTCGCTCGTGGTTAGTAGTTGGAGAAGCACTCAAAAGTTATATAGCTTACCTACCGTCAGCAAACGTTCTCATTTTAATCGTCTAATGCTGTGACCCTGGCTTGGATCTTTATTCACATTTGTTTACATTTCCTCATTCCACGCATTACGACTTCTACTAAACGCCCCCCCCCACTCTTCCGTCGGCCAAATACGGCCCTCACGTTGGACTTGGTAACGGACGGTGACCCTGGCTTCAGGTGCTGACCAAAACATAGTGGGTTCGTCTGATTGGAGCGAATCAAATTGTTTCATCTTTTTCAACATGTTCGATGTCGATTTTTAAATGTAGTTCGTTATGTTCTTCTTTATTGAGCCCGATGAGAACTCCACGAGAGAGAAGAACTCTTCTCTGCATCTTTGAGATATTCTTGAAGTCATCTATTGAAGATTCCTCCTACTGGATACAAAGGTTGCCTCAAAGGTGCATTATCAACAATCACCAGCATGATAGACCAATACCGTATTTCTGCATGATAATGCCGGATGGCATGTTTCGAAGCAGATCCACGAATTCATTGAAGGTATGGAACTTGACCTTGGATTGCCAGTTGCTGACATGACTAACTTGATCTGATTCACACTGGTGATTTTGTGGATGATTGCGCTTGCTTTGAGGATCAGAAATTTCTTGCAAAAACCATGAGATTTATATTAATAAAAAAACCTTATTTGACATAGCATGGCAGATATTCAAGAAGGATGAGCTCAACAATGGAAAAAAGTGGATGATGAGTGCACAAACATATACAGAACAGTGCAAAACTAAGTGGCGACAGCAATTCCAGTAAATGGTGTTAAGCTAACCTCCTGCTGCAACTCGCTCAGTGAATTGTGAATCAAAAACGGTAATCCAAAAATAATAATTGGGAAAAAAACAAGGAAAACGGTGTTGTTGAACGCAAAACTGTTGCAAGGCATTGCGTGGTGACCGGCGTATCCGCGAGACGCCGAGAAAAATCAAAGAAAAAAACTGAAAGGAATCTGTTATAAAAATAAAACGACAACAGTTAACCAAGAATTTTATATGGTGCTGAAAATGTCTTTGGACAAATCTGGGCTCAGATTTGGAGCATTTCGCGGCTCTGGTCCAAAGCCAAGATCACCGATGAACCACCTGGAAGATCGGAATCATGAGGCCGAACATTGCCGATAAAATGCATACCCACGCTCGCATTTTTGTACACCGTTCACCATCTATCCATCTTTAGGCCGCAAGGACGACGACGGAATTCGTTCCCTCTTTCGTGCACCCACTTATTCGTGACCTTCAAATAGGACTTCATTTGTTCAGGGATCTGAAACACTGAGGAACGCGCAGCTTTACCCATTTCACTCCAAGCAGCACTGGACAGGCAGCATGGCGAGTCCTTGTGTCGCCGTCTCCTGTCTTGAGCAGATTGTACCAAAACAGAGCATCGTTCTGAAAAATTCTTCCCTTATCTCGAACATTGATTCATTTAGCATCGCCTCACGCCAAATCTCATGGAGTGAAGTCGCGCTAGCCGTTTTGAGAAGCAAAAGATATCTACGTGAGGTTGCCATGCCAATTGTTGAAATAAATAAGGATTAAAGGTGGAAACTTTGAAGCAACGCTCCATTGTCAACGCATGACGGTCATGACAGTCGACGCAGTTGTGGGCACAGGTAATGGATTTGCTGGATTCGACAATCCAATAGATAGTTTGACTAACTTTATAGCGAAGTACCGCCGACTTGACTACGCCGTGAAGAACAGTTCCATTCCACCAACGTAGGTTCCGCATCGAAAAAAGACAATAGCATCCCAAGTGCCCAACACTTCTGATCCCCCTTGTGCGCCAGCCTCGCATGATCACCATGTTTTATTGAGAATGACTTTCGAAAGCGAACAACACTGATGTTTCTCGCCAATCTCCTTCCCTCCCCGGGTCCCTCGTCCCCTCTCCCCCCACCCACTTCTCTCCAGCTCACTCTCATGTGTCAGCCGAGAACGCAGTGAAATTGGAGCTGTAACTCAAGTTTACTAGCTAAAAGCCGGCCGGGAACATCGCAGATGCAATCCGACCGCTTCCCCAACAACGCGAATCGCATAGCTCCGAGGTGGTATATCTTTGTTAAGCAACACCCGTAAGAAGTCGCCTAACACAAAAGGCTTGTCCATTTTAAACTAATGGTCCTCATACACAGCTCTCGCCAACACCCGTAGAATTAATCCTCATTTCTTTTATTTAAAGCTTGCTTTTAATTGTTTTTTGCGCTTTTATTCCCTTCCTCTCTCTAAATCTTCTTCGATTCCCACTCGTGACGACAAGAACCATGAAGCGAATGATGAAATATTACACTAGCGTCCTACTTGATCAGCTGAGGTGGCTTGTAGACCATTACATACGTTAAGAAAGACACCCCATCACGCTATACTTAATTTAAAACGGTGGTTCGCGTCTTTTTCGGCCCTTCAATATGCCACACGCGGCAATCACCAAGTTGGGGTTTAGCACAGATCATTATTCAACAGCGTTGATCATTTTCCAGTGATAGGTCGGTGCTTCGATCTTTTTATCTGAACAATCTGGCACCCCTACCTGACTGTCTGTGGATCTTCGCCTTACGATCCCCGTAATTCCCTACAAATTATTCTCGCTGTGAAATTGAGCTCGATTGACGGATAGATGTCCACCTATTGCAGGCGGTACAAGCCTATATTCCTTGAAAAGTTAGGCAACATCAACCATAACATGAATGTTACTTTCAAACTGTGGCTGCCTCTGAGGTGCTGTCAAGCCAAACTGACCGCTGTACATCCGCCAGAGAACAGGAACTGCCGGTGTGTACCGCCTAAGCTTGCGGCCTTAGAAGTGGAGTCGTTTCGAGCACACCGAACCAGCCATTACCTTTATTTTAATGCAATCCATCCACATTCAATCAATGCCTTTACACTTCACATTCATACATGTCTATACGGTTGGAGCATGATATCGTAGCGCTCGCATTAAGCAAAAGTTTGAAACAGCAAATCCCTACAAACAGCCAACCACAGCAACGCAACCACCTCGATCAAGCTGATGTTTCTTTCTCGCATCCCACCATTCACGCACTTAGATTCCATTAACCAAAAAATTACCGCCATCCAGAATCATCAGAAGATACTGCCAGTTTGGATTCTTCCAATTATACCAATTTGTCCTCTTCTCCTGGAAGAACGGAAAGCGCGAGTGCAACCTAATGCACGCAACTGACGATCACCACGGCCGCAGAACAGCAGCAGTTGACGGACAAAGACACAGAGCAATCGGTTGGTTGCAATGTTGTGTGGCGTTGCAATCGATTCCCACCTGCCTGCCAACGAAGCTTCGTGGTGATTTCGCCATTGATATACTCTAACGCTCGAGTCCTGTTTTAACACAATATACTCACCTCATAAAATCTGCCGAGCGAAGTATAATTAGACAAGATAGCTGATAGCCCATACTCAGCTGTCCACCAATTGATTCCTGGTCGTTGTCACTGCCGCTTTGTCGCGCGCGTCGTCAACTTGTGTAAACTTGTGTGCACCACGCTTCCGGTCTTTGAAGAGTACGATGTGAATATTATTTGGAAACGAGGCCGGGTAAAAGTTCGATTGCAGACCCGATGATACGAAACTCCTATTCTGACTTCTTTTTCTTTTACAGATTTCTCGCCCTGTCCCCCCACCGTCGGAACTTTCTCTTTCTAACATATATCTGAGAGATCCCTACAATACCAGAAGAAAGGAGACATCAGGTACTGTAAGGCGAAAAAGTGCTTTCAAATGATGCATTGATTCTGATACCTCTTGTCTTCACTGATTTGTAAGTTCGCAAAAAAAACCACCAATATTTGCTCCAATTAGAAAGCAAAACAATCATTGATAAAGAATGATTAAAAATCCGGCCCTCGTTCGCTCCTACCTGCTCGACGAACCTTGTTTATCTCGTCAATTCCCGGAGCCAATTTATCAAATGGAACAGGGGAAAGGAGCGGACGGCGAAACTCACGTAAGAAGAGTACGGTAGCGACTCTGTTTCCTGTTCCGAGAGACTTGAATGATTCCGTTTCTTCCCTTCTTGCGTGATCGAAGTGAGGATCGTAGTGGCCACCAACACCATAATTTTGGGTCTGCAACATGTAACGCCGTCGTAATCCTCACACACAATGTAAGCCATACCTGCAGTTCTTCAGCGGTTTCCATTTCAAGGTTGGTCATCAGGTCGATACGTTTGTTGAGACGGTCCACCACTTCATGCTCCCAACCTTTCAACCATGCACTGAAAGCGCTCCATCAGCAAAAAAAAAAAATAAGAAAAAAAAAAGCAGTAACCCTCTTGCTAAAACCGAAATTCTCGCAAACCTCTTGCTGTTCTGTTCGTAGCATGGACAAGCTTACCCGTAGCGGAATCGTGGACGGTAGCTCGAGCCAACTAAAAGGCACTGATGATCCTTTCCAACTGATGATCCTTTCCAAGTGGTAATAACAAAGAAATCAACTCACTCTAGGTATGGCTAGCTCTTCAAGCACCTTGATCTCTTCATCGCTAATCACTTCTTTGAAAAGCACAGCTAAGGGGTTAAATCGCTTGATTTCAACCTAAAAAGTCAATTTAATATGGTCTGAAGAATCATCTATCTTCGGCAGCTTGATTCTCGGAGCCCTACCCTCCACAAATACGTTCAGTAGAGGTATACAACGGAGCTGATAAAGCATCCGGCACCGAACAACCTTTTAAGGGAGGAGCTACGCATCCCACTTCATTTCAAAATTGTAATGACATTTGAATGCAATTCGTCCTATACAACAATTTGTCGAGGCCTGCTAATGCACATTTAGTGCTTTTTTTCATCAGAAGTCTGGTTTCAGCGCTGCCCTCTGAACGATGTAAGGATTGAATGACGTAGATTGGAGTCTGTGCAGAACTTGACCCCGGGGTTGTTGGCAAAATAAGCGGTGCCATGCCACTTGCCGCTGCTCCACACCAGCTTTCAGAAAAGCTAAGGAACTAGTAGGTGCGGCCGTATGATCACTTATTTTCGAAATGTTCTGTTAAGAAATGTGCCAAGCAGCGTCTCTTTCAGCATCATCATTAAATCTGAACCTACTTAAATCAAATACCATCCCGTGCAGTTGTAGCATCCTCTCTTTAAATGAAAACAGTCGAAAGGAGGTTTCTCGGCTCCCAACTTGTAAATACGAACCACAGAAAGTTGCGAGAAAATTTCGTTCTTGTAAAAAGTGGTACTGCACTTCTGCGGAGGAAAGACTGCGTTCATGTGTAGTTGTACGCTCCCCCCCCCCCTATACCACTAAAGTTCCAGAATCGAGTGATACAAAGAAGATACGAGCTTGTTCGCCAATCCACACCAGTGTAGCTTGTGGATCAGAACCTGCACTTCAAGTGAACGTGTCATTTTAGGTGGTAAGTGAAGCCGGTGGGTGCTAACTTTAGTTGGGGGGACCACGCGGCGGCGCGGCAGCTTTGCTCACCTGGCGCTCTCTCGAGCGAGACAGTGTAAACTCGAACATTCCAGCTTTTCACGCATGTCAAGTGACTGCCCTCACCCCCACCCCCTAGACTGCCTACACTCCCCCTGGCTCACGGATTTCCGTAACATGCCAGGCGAGCAGACTGCCGCGCCGCCGCGTGGTCTCCCCAACTAACAATAAGTTAGCACCAGCCCACACCATGGACCAAATGGGCTACTGAACACATCTACGATTCGAGAAGAAGCTTGAATGCACGGCGTACCACACGTTAATGAATTAATGATAAATGTTGATAAATTCACTTGACGAACGTCTTCCACGTTTTTTTCCAGCATTCTTTTTCGTTTAAAAACACCACAGCAAATAAAAATAAACTATGCCTAATTAAAGTAGTACTGAACTCACTTTGATTGGTGCATACACCAAAAAAGGCCGATCACGTTTGAGGTAGCAGTAGAGTTTCGATATATCTTTCTCGCTCTGAACCAATTTAGGTGAAACAACTTTTCATGGTCAGGCAACTGGTGAATGAGGAAAACATACTACAGGCACTTCGTTTCTACACAAAGCCTCGTAGATCGTACGTTCTTTATTGCCTAAGACACTTTGCGGTCGTTCATTCAGCACCCGACCCAATGATCTGAAGTGAATTACGAAGTAGCGGTTCAAAACTGATCACATTTGATTATGAAAGGGTATTTTCCCCACCTTCTCATGTCAATCTTTTTGACACCTTCTTTGGCCAAATAGTCTTCGTAAAACTTGACGTTTCCGCTCGCACGAGGGTGATTTGGCTCTAAAAGGTGTCCATTATGTAATATAGTGAGAATAATATTATCCTACTATTTATATAGCGCTTCGTCTGTCGTTCTGTATGTCTGTCACGAAATTCCCTAGCTCCTCGGGATCCGCCTGGAGAGACCGGGTCAAGTGTGGGATGGGTGGGCAATATCTCGCGAAGTACATCAGCCAAGCGAAACCAGTGGCGTTCATCGAAGTGAGCGGTACCGACGACAAAGATTTCAAAATTAGATTCCGAAACAACTTAGAGACTAGAGAAAAGATGGGGTGATCGATATATGTAGAGACCCCGCTTCAGTTTGCGGGTGTTCTGTAAAAAAGCAGTGCTTCATGAAAAAATCCATAACTCGGTTTGGAAATGCTTACAGTGCAGAGCATCAGTTGTTGGGAGCCAATGTCTAAGGTGTCCCAGTATACATGGAGTGGTGGATGCCCGCCTACTATGGGCAGAGCGTTTCTCTTCAATAGACGACGTTTCCTACAAAGCGTCATCACGGTAGCGATGATTTAGCGACCGGAAAAACTGACATAGAGAGTAAGAAGACAAGGTAAGTGAAATGCAACGGCTGGGCGGGCGTACGCAAAGGGTGTTTCAAAACCAACCTAAATAACTCGCTTCCTATAATCCCGGTACCAGGAAAGTGGATAAGGTTGATGGAGGGAACGCAAGGTTAACTGTGTGGTGGCGGGCACAGCTGAACCGCGGCGCGACCTTTAGCCGTCGAAACCTGATAACTCGTTCCGAAGTTCGGAGATTCGAAAAGGTAAACACGAGATTGCGAAGAGATAAAGCAGACACCATGGTGGGCGGATGCATCAAAGTGCGGAGCCGATCCACAAAGCATTAAACCCCTTGTTCGCAAAGCTAACTGACTCGGGAAAACAGTGGATAGAAGTCCGCCTAGATGGAATCAAACCCATGGCCGGCGGGTAATGCACCGACGTGGGCGAGTTTGTGCCACTAACTACGAGGCGGTTCGCATAAAATCTGAACTGGCAGAAAACAGTTGCAATGAAACGGCCGAAAGAAATCATTTTATTATGATGGAATTCACGGGAATTACAATGCCCTTGACCACCCACAAGCTCGCAAACCAAAGGCAAAAGTGAGCCAAATGGTTGGTCAAGGAGGAGAGATCAACAAGCCGTCGGATTAGATAAAACAGATAAAACCTAGCTTAGAAGTCAAAAATTCGAAGAGGATCAAATTTGAGAATTCACGTTGCAGACCTGTGTGGTACGCGCAACGCGTGCGGCGCCGTCTGGTGATTTATACTCGGTACGCCAAACAGAAACATCAATAAAACGCAGCTACAGATCATAAATCAAATGAAACTGAAAGATAAAAAAGAACCTAAGAAGGTACTAGAACGAAGGGTGAATGACTACTCTCTTGAGTGACAGGAACCTATTTCCATTGAAGCATGCGACCACTACCATACTAATTTGATCCAAGATCTCAGTCTCGACCGGACCTTTCTGGATTTGCACTAAGTCTGTTCACAAGGGAAAGAGACATATGTATGTAGCTTGAATGTTGAGCACCATCATTGTGAGGACTGGTGAATGCTTGCGGGCCTTCACGATTCTGTGGGTGAGGACAAAGGCTCAGAACCTTCCCACACTGCTCTTCATCACAGAATACATATTTCAGCGCCTCATTCCCTGTCTCTTTATCATCCTACTATATATAATCGGCTAAGCGGTTGTGTGTGTGTGTGTCTGACCGGAAATTCATAACTTCACCCCCTTTGGACCCAGAGCGCTCAAACTTCTAGGATATATAGGGGGCCGGAGGTGAACACTGATGACGGGTGGCGGGAAGTGATAACTACTGATAGGAGCTGATAACGGACGTCGAAATGCCTGGTCAACATATATAGGAAACCCACCTAATGCGATTAGTTCTTCAGACAGTTGCAGAGCGTGCTTTGGATTTCCTTGTTTGAAGAGCGAGTACGCGAGATATTCAAGGATCTAGAACGATATAATCCTTAATTCCAAATCAATGATACTTCGCTTAATATCAGTGATACCTGGCCAAGGTTCGCAGTTGGTTCGTCCTCGTGTTGGAGACGCCTTCTTGCTTCTTCCATCCACATAACCGTGTGATAGAAGTCGTTATCATTATAGGCGGCCTTTGCGATTTCAAAGCAGTCACCGGCTAAAATAAGGAGCTGTTAGATCGTTCAGTTAGTTCTTGCGATTTTCGTCCCCGAAATTCAAATACATGTATATTACACAAAACTTCGCCACTTGATGCTAAAATCGTTACAACCTTTAAACTCTGCCATAGGAGACGGATTAAGTCAGCCCGATTGTAGAGGTTTTAACATCTTGTTGGGTTATAGAGCATTTTCCTTCGAGGGAGCTACAACGGTGGTCGGAAAAGAGAGAGTATCGGTAGGAAGAAGGTTTGAGTATGCCATTCGCATAAAAGTGTACACCTCGGCTAGTTAAGCTTGTGCAGAGTTGGATGTGCGATATGGGACCGTGCAGCTGTGTGGAGAAGAGTCGGCGGAATCCACCTCTCCGGATTCCTTGGACTTTCCACCTCACCCCAACAATTCAGAAACGACCTCTTCAACAATTCCATCAAATTTGCTTCGATCAAAACCCTCAGTTAATCGTTGTAATCTCTGATAATCAACCAAGACCATCACCCTCTTCAAGGATCTCACCATTGCTACAAGACATCTTGAGCGAGAACTGCTTGAAGAGAATTCAATGTGGATTTGGGACTAATATATCCAATACATTCAGCCACTTAGTTCCGCTCTATTCCGGCCAAATACAAGGGAGAACAGGAAATTCGTGTGATGTCGCCTTTAGAGTATGTTGTACTCACGAAATTCTAAAAAATCTTACAATTAAGGTGCGAAAAATATCGAAAAGATCTTCAGATAGGACGAGGAACGCGCTTTCAAAAAATATGTGAAGTACAGTAAAGCTTTGAAACTGTCCTAGGAAGAGACATCAGTTATGGCAAGAACTCTCGAAACGACTTACCAGGAAAGCCTAGGACGTGCAGCGCGTTTTCAAAATGGTTTTGTGCATGTTACAGAGGGATGCGGAGGGAGCGCTGATGATAATTTTTCCTGAGCGGCTCTGGGAATGCCAAAAACATGTGGAAGACTGAGCTTGTAGTTCGATCCTCACTGGAGGCAAATTTTCGCATTTTTCTGCTTTCCACTTTCTTGAGCTCATAGAAACACTTATGTGAACAGAAAGCATACAACATGCATTTATACAACGCTGCAAATGCTGTAGAGTTCATTGAAAGTGTAAAAGCTCCAATTGCTTGAAAAGGTTCTCTATCATTTTTTCTGGCAATCGCAAGGCCCCTCAGAAAAATAATTTCATGCCCCACACAAATGACCCCATAAAATTCATTAAACCATTTCAAGAGAGCGCTCCTCGTCCTGAACGAGTTCCCTGGTTAATGGTATCAGAATGAGTAGCTCACGACGGGCTACACATACCTCTTCCAGCAGTCTCGAGGTCTTCGCGCAGCAGGAACTGGGAACATATGTATAACACGCTCCACCATAGGATGGTGGAGGAGGAAAATGGAATAAGTGCCACCCAAATCAGTTACTGTGTAAACGTACCGCTTCATAGCATGCCACGAGTGTGAGTATTCTCTCCCAAAACTGAGGAAGACTCCACGACATGCTCGAAGGTGGAATAGGGAAAAACTCATTCACTGGTAAGAGCCTCTAAGAGTGCGGACCGACAGGCACTTCGCAGGGAGCCGCTGGCGATTAGCACAGCCCTCCTACGGCGCAGTGTTGACGTTGAAGATGGCAGAACTATGAGATTCGCATCAATGCGGAAATCAACAAGCAGGAAAAAGTCCCAGTGCTCGGTTTCTGGAGCGGTTTCTCACGGTTTCTCCTTTCATCCATCCACAACTGACCACCAACACCTTTTTTTTTATTGATCTGCATTTCAATCATAAAATACGCCTATCTGCCAAAAGGCACGTCCCATTGGAAGAGCAATATGCAAATGAGTTAGGCAAAAGTCGGGCTCAATAAGGGGGTATTATGGCGATTGAAACTGAGTATAGAGATGCGAAGTGGAACGACAGTGGAGAAAAAACTGAGAAAAACCGTCGACAAGGCCGTTAACAAAACCCTCTTTCCCACTAGCAGTGAAGGAGGCTGGCTTGGGAAAGAGGCACGTACAAACAAGTTTTCTGGAGATGTCAGTCGTTCTATCGGTTGATACGGCAATCAACCTAGCTGATTTCACACGTTATGCCAGCCACGCACCACTTCCGGAGGTGGGCGGTCCTGGATTGACCAGGCGGCCCTGGATTGAAACCGAACGCCCCGGGGCCTTAACGGGGTTTTTCAAGGTGGGAAGTTGCTGCAATGTGTGCAGCTACCCACATACAACCTCCAGGCACGGGAATTACTTCTCTAGCGTGCCTGAGCCCGACCTTTGCCTTTAACCAGCTAGTCAGTCTGCTAACACAGAGGAAAAATTTCAAGGTATTTCCAACTCCCAGATTTTTCCTAGAATTTTTTTTGGAGAAGGGGCTTCCGGCTGCCTAATAAATTATTTAAACTTACCATTGAATGTTAAGTTGCCTTGTTTCTTGTAAATACGACCGTCAGCAAGATCTCTTGTGTCCAAACGGTAGGTGTCCTGGAGTCTAAGCAAGCCCATTGCGGCTCCGCTCAAATCTTCCTGAATAAGACGTCACATTGCTGCGGTCTACGCTACTTCGATAAGCCACTTTTAATGATTAGTGGTTGATTTAGTAATCATGAAGTCATACAGAAATTCCGACCGCAAAGTATTATTGAGGGGAGCTGCTATGATAAAATGAAGGTAGGTTACCATAAAGGAGCCAGGTTCGCTAAGGGAGAGGGACGATGGGCGTTCTGCTGGAAGGGGTGCTCCTGTATACGCCTTATAAGGTCTTAATAGCTGAATTCCCTTCGTGGCAGTCCACGCCCCGATCGGTACCCCAGCTGCTAATCCCTTGCCGTCAGACTCTAGTCGTTTTGGCAGAGAGGCAGAGCAGAGCCTTCACGTTGATGAGGTCAGCACACGTGAGACTCGGGGCAAGCCTCCATCCGGTCTACACTCGGTGTTTAGGCAATCGGCGTTTAATTGTGGAATCGTAAGCAGC